AGAAGAGAAGAGAAGAGAAGAGAAGAGAAGAGAAGAGAAGAGAAGAAAAAAAGAAAAAAAGAAAAGAAAGAAAAGAAAGGAGGGAAATTTTTCCAGGCTGGAAAGCACTTTTAAGAGTGCTTGCTATTCTTTGTAGAAGACCAGGGCCAACTCCCAGCACCACATGGTAGGCCACAACTGTCTCTCACTACAGTTCTAGGAGACCTGATGCGCTCTCCTGACTTCTGCAAACACCATCCACACATGGCACACATACATGCAGGCCAAACACTCATACACATAAAATAAACATCAATGTTAAAAATCTCATTTATAATCAAGTTAAAATTATTTACCTTGGGTCTATCACAGAGAAACAGAAGAGAAGGGTAGAAGTGAAGCTTGAAAAGAAGGTGCCTTTCATCCTCACAGACATAAATACACACACACACACACACACATACACAGAGAGAGAAACAGACAGAGACAGACAGACAGAGACACAGAGACAGAGGGAGAGGGAGACAGAGCTGTCGTTAGCCAGTCTTTGATAGAGCAATGAAGCTCTCTAGGCTTCTGTAGCTCAGGACATTAAAGTAGTCTTGTGGGTCAGCATAGTCATCTTCTGCCTGCTCTCCACAGAGGCCAGCAGGGGCAGCTTGTGTCTGGACAGGGTCTCCAGGGGATGAGGGAATCCTGAGGCTCCATTCCTGTGGCTCAGCTTCCCGTCTCCCAAAGCCACTTTCTACAGAAGGCATTCCAATAGACTTCTAGGATTAAACAGAGTAAATGCAGGGGGATGTTATTCAAAGCTCCTTTACAAATGACACAGTTAGAACCTTCTCTCTTTCTTTCGTACACGAAGACACACACACACCAGAAGCAAACTTGTATTCTTACCAGTACACAATCCTTAGCTCTTAATTTTCCTACTTGGTGAAGCTTTTTTAAGATTCTCACACAATACATTTTTGATCCTATTCTTTCCCCTCTTCCAACTCCTTCCAGCTCTTCCCCATCTCCCTATCCACTCAAGTGTTTTTCTCTCTTTCAAAACAAACAAACCAAAATTATTAACATAAAAAAACATATCACATTCAAACAAAAAGCATTCAAAAAACACAATTTATTTTATGTTGGCCAACTATTTCTGGACACAGGATCTGCCTTGAAGTGTAGTTGACATAAGCCCAGCATCACACCCTTGGAGAAAACTGGCATCAATTGCAAATAGCTTCTTGATTAGGGGTGGGACTTTGTGTCTACTTCCCCTTCTCCACATAACCCATTGTCAGTAGTAACAGCTATAATGAAACTAACGGGCCATCCTGCAGCCCTTATGTCCTGTTCTCTTAACCACAAAAGTTGTGTCTTGCTTCCAGCTCTCTTTTCTTCTCACAGCAGATACACTGTTCATTTCTTCCTTCTCTTTGGTTTCTCCTCACCCTTCTCCTCCTTCCATCACTCATTTTGAGCCAACCAGGTTCTTTTCTCTTTGCACATAGGCTCTCCAAGCCAAGAGGTTACTCAGGACCCTCTGCTTTCTCACTCAATCCTCTGAGTCAGCTCATCCACTGTAGACTCCAAACAAGACCTATCCTCTAAAGACTCCACAAGTACCCACGGCTCTGCAATGAGCTCCAGGCCCCCTTGCCCACTACTCAGCATGGCCTGAGAAGAGAACTACCGCAAGCTTGGACTCAACTTGTCTTCATGACAAACACTGGGCACCACCCCACAATCTGCTTCTGTCCACACTCCCCCTTCTGTCTAAGAGCACAGACCCTTCAGATATATGGGAGTTCCAATCACTCATAACACCTCTGATGGCTGTTCTTAGTTGTCAACTTGACTACAGCAAGAATAAAACCCAAGTGGCTACGTGCATGTGCACATCATTTGAAATGGGAAGACCCACCTTTATCCAGATATTTTAAGATAGAAAAGATCCACCTTTAATCTGGGCCTCCCCTTCTGGCGAACCTTTATAAAGGACATGGAAGGAAGAAGCTTTCTCTCTTTGCCTGCTGATTCTTAACTCTTTCTAGAAAGTCCATTCCTCCTCTAGCCTTAGACCCACCTCTTTGTGATTCTGTATGCTGGAAACCAGCAGAAACATCCAGCCTTGTAGACTAAACAACAACAATCCTTTTACTTTTCATTGGTAGACTGCCCTGCCATTGTTGAACTAGCTGGACTGCAGCCTATAATCCACTCTAATCAATCAGATAGATAGATAGATAGATAGATAGATAGATAGATAGATAGATAGA